CTTACCGAATTGAAATTAATGCATTTTAGGCTGAGTTATGAGTTTTTTTATTTAACGAAAATGAATTTTTAATGAACAAATCAAAGTAAGCATTTTTATATTATATATATAGAAAACTGTAATATTTATGTAGCCTTAATGATACAATGAGGTATTGTAAATATTTAGTGTATAAAAAGGAAAGCAAAGAAGGAAATGCACTAGAAAATTAACTTCGAAATGGAGAAGAGTGCTTTCCTTGGTAACAAAGGAGCATCCTGGGTGTAGAATTGGTCCTAGTAAATTGGTAGGATAACTCGAAGTGGGTGTGTGTGTGTGTTGGAGTGTGTTACTATGTCTGGTTAAATTTACCACCCCCTTTTTTCACTTCCCTCCCCTCGCGTGCATTTTACAATGTTGTTAATATGACGCTTAGTAGTTATCTCACACCAAAAACACACTCTTAAACCCCCCTTGAAACACACACACACACACACCCAAGCATTGACAATGTTTTTCAAATTGACGACGCATTACACACAGAAAGGGGGGATTCCCCTCCCGCTTTCCCCCCTCTCTCAAGTGTTGTAAAATTATTGGCATGCGAGCGATGCAGCAGCGTTTATTAAATTTTTCAAGTGCCACAACAAAGGCGAATAACATAGTGAGTGGTGTGTGGAGAAGTGTAAAGTGTAAAGTGTGTGTGTGTCATGTTGGGAAATTATTTTGTGTCCGGGACTCTCTGTGTCTGATATTTTATGTTGTATTAATTTTACAACTTTACAAGGGGGCGGCTGCGAAAATGTAGTAAAAAATGTTGACATAAAATGAACTTTATATATTTTAGATATATTTTTATTTAAATTAGAGATTACCATATATATTTTAGATATTTCTATGGTTAAATTATAGATTACTTTATATATTTTACATCTTTTAATTTCCTATATTTACATTAAAATCAAACAAATATAGAGACTTAGAGTAAAGAAGCTTATTTACTTTTACACCAAGAAAAAGGCATAAGATCCTTTCTTAAAGTATCTATTTGATTTAAAAGATTACAAAAAAGGAAGCATTTTCTCTAATTTTAACGATCGTTTGTATGGCAGCTATATATATATGATATAGTAGTCCGATTTCCATAAAAATGTACACAAAATTCTAAATTTATATATAATAAATATATATATCAAATTTGATGAAAATCTGTTCAAAACTGAAAAAGTTATAATTTTTTTTCTTAAAATTTTCCGATTCTTCCTCTGTCAGCTATATATATGTATATATATAGTCCACCGATTTGCCATGCTCCGACTTATATACTAGTAAAATTATATTGAAGAATAACTCCATAGTTTCTTTCAAATGCTCTTAAATTTGTTCCAAAACAAATCTCGCACACAGGGCATATAATTCCCAACTAGTTCTAACATCCCCGGAACGAAGTGACTGCTGCCGGCCAAGTCTCAGAAATGTGTTGTGTTTTAAAAGTTGCAAGTCATTGTTTATTAGTGTTCAAAGTTAGTAACTGATCATACATACATACTTACCGGTCGTAGATACTTACTGATCATAGTTAATTACTGATCATAGTTACTTAATCTTCAGAGTTACTTACTAATCATAGTTACTTAATGTTCATTGATACTTACTGATCATACACACTTACTTGTCATAGTTAATCACTGATCATAGCTATTTACTGATCATAGTTATGTACTGTTGAAAGATACTTAGTGATCCTCTAAAATTAACAACCGTTTCTCTGGCAGTCCGATTTTAATAAAACTAAAAACGAAATAAAAACTGTAAAAGTTCTAACTTTAAGGCAACAAGAAATCAGTTTTCTAAAATGAAAACTTTTAAATAATAACAATAACAAGTGGCAACATGTGTCCTTTAAAGGGTTTCCATTACAACTCTCTCTCTCTCCCTTGCTCTTACTTTGATAATGCATAAATACATACATTGTCTAATATTTGCCAAGGCTTCACTTTGAGTTGCAAAAAAGAAAACAAAAAGACAGCAAAATAAAACTAAAACTGAAGAATACTAGAAAACTGCAGGAACCGGAAATGCTGAACCAGGGAGGGACGGGTTGTTTAGTGGGGAAAACTCCCAAGAAAGGGAGCTTAACTGTCGTCTGGGGTTTTTAGAAATTTGTTTCGCTTCGTTCTGGCTGTCTTTCTGTCTGTGTTTCCCTCCTCTCCCAACTCTCTCTGCACTTCATTGGAGCCGTGAACAAGTTTTGCCAACTATTTGAGTGAGTTTTCCATTGCCATGTCGCCATTCTTATATTCGGGTTTCCTTCTATTCCTCCATTAGGGAGCTAAGCAAAGAGCAAACACAAGACAATGGGTTCTGCTTCTGGTTTGCACTTAGCCAAAAGGAAACTTGGCCCAAACTGTATCTCAGTTGCAGTCTCAGTATCCGCATTTCCCCACCCCCAAATCCCCATTTCCGGTTCCCATTCATGTTCATATGTGAGTGTGTGTGTGTGTGCGAGTGTTCGTATTAAGCCGAGTGGTAAACAAAGATATGCACTACCAAGGCTTACCAGTTACCATAAACCGAGCAACGAAGCATATGAATATGCGATACAAGCTCTGTGTTAAGCCGCTTACACGCTTATGAGTTTCAGGCCTGCCAACCTGAGCCAACTTATAATGCTGGCTAATGAGTTCGTTGAGCTCGTGGAGTACAGTTGCAGCAAAGTACAGTCACGCGCGGTGAAAGTGTGACCAGATTTAGTTTTTGGTAAAAGTTTTGAAGGTTTTTAAATGCTTTGGAATTGTTAATCCCTTTTACAAAATTAAAAAAAAAAAAAAACTAATTTTAGAAAGCTGAAATTTATGAACAGTTTGCATTTGAATTTTGGGATTGAATCGGAAATCGATCATAACTAATCTTAAAATATTTTCATTCTTTGAATCGATATTTATAGATATTTTTATATCAAAATTTGTCCGACTAATCAAAGCTTAAAAAACGCATAACTTAGCTAAAAATGCATTAATTTTAAATCGGAAAACAGTTTTATATTAGTTTTTATTTGGTTAATAAATCTGCATACTCAGTTTTAAATATACAAAAATTAATATTTTTTCGATTTTTTTAAACAATTTTTATGATGAAACCCCTTAAAAAAATTGAAAATTTGTGAAAATTTTTGTTTTCTTCCAAAGATGGCTAGATCGATTTGGCTGCTCATGCTGATCAATAATATATATGATTTATAGGGTCGGAAATGACTCCTTCATCGATAAAAATTATTAAACCCTTTGGTAGATTCTTGAAATCGATAATTTTATGTAATACATTTTTTCGATAAATCAAAGCTTAAAAACCGCATAACTAAGTCAAAAATGCATTAATTTTAATTCGGAAAGCTGGCAAGGGTATAAAGAGGAAAGGACTCACATTGTTGCCAAACTTCTCACTCAACAATGTGACCAGATCGAAGGGACACCCACTTGACATGGTCATTGAATTGCATTCTGATTTCCGAAGCTTGTTAGCTGCCAGCATCCACTTGAAGTTCCTTTTTGGCTACCTACCATATACTATACCCTTGGATTCACATGCCTTCAAATAATGGTCCATTGTCCCATCCACTGCATCGTTGTCGAACTTCAGCTGCTAATCAAAAGTGGATTGTGGACATTCTACTCCTGCAATTGAAGCACTCTCTTGCAGTCTCAAGCTGTGTTGCCAATTTTCACACAAGCTCGAGCAAATTAGAAACAATTTTGCCATAAAGTGCACTTAAAATCGAGAAGGCAAGGCAGGGAGCAGCAGGGAGAAAGGACATTTTGTCAAATCAAAAACTGAATTTGAATTTCAATCAACTCGAATTAAATCAAAATTTGCAAAATGAAGTGACTGGACAAGGACACAAGGAGTGTGTACACACACACACACACACACATTGAGCAGAGGAAGTGCAGCACGAAATTGGAATATAATTCTTATGAATGGGTCTGGTCCTTGGTCTGCCACAAACTCCTAGAGATGGTAATGGAGTCTAGAAGGTGGAAAGGCTTTTGAGCCACAGTCAGGGGTAGAAAATGTGGAGAGTGGCTTGCAGTTCCCCACAGACCGCAAAAAAGATGAAAGAGTCCAGTCCATTCCTGGCAACTCTGGAATGTCAAGTCTGCTGTCTATAATTTAGTGGCATATTCAATTTGCCAAGGAGCCCTTTTCCTGCCACAGAGAGAGAGTGTGAGAGCTCTGTGGCTTTTCCAGCCAGTTTGTCTGATTTTCTCTGTACTTTTTGATTAAGCATTGCGCACACGTAGTGGCAATTGATGCCCCAGATTCGCGCACCTGTTGGGCAGCAGGAGAGCCTGTGTGTCCAGTGTCTACTAGGTGTAACACTCTTCCATGTCCCATGTCCAGTTCTTGTCTGGCAGCGTTTTCTCGCCTTGATTTCTCCTCGTATTGTGGCACGTAGTTGGAGGTGTAAATGTTGACAGGGATCTGGTAAATGCACAAATCAATGGTTAGATTGTTCGATTGCTAAACTGATGGATTGCCTAGGTCATACATGGGCACGCCTTGGGTTCCAGAGCTCGGCTGGGTATTGTTTGCTAAAATGTTTTGGGAAATTTTGGGGTATATTGTTAATAAATCGAGTTAAGAAATGATTAGACAAGAATTTATTCTTATAAATAGATATTTTATAGGGTTTTTTGTTTAAAAGTCTTGGGAAATTTTGAATATATTGTTAAGAAATTTAGTTGAGAAATGATTAAAGACGAATTTCTTCTTATTATAATAGATCTTTCATAGTAAAGTTTGTTCAAAAGTCTTGGAATATTGAGGTACATTGTTAAGAAATCTAGTTTAGAAATGGTTAAAGAAGAAATAACCTGTTTTTAATATTTGTATAGCTAGACCCATATAGTATTGTTTGTTCAAAAGAAAATAAAGTTAACCCGTAACAAAATAAGCCTAAAATTGCTTAAAACTTCCTTTTGAATGATATATTTCCATTATGCCAATATTAGCCAGTAAAATAATCTTCTATAAGGTTTTTATTCATTATTATCAATTCCTCAAGCAACAATTTGTTTGTACATATGATATTGTTTTAGTGAAGATCTTAAAATCTTAATCCCTCTTCTTATCCCTGGCCTTGATAAACTCTGGATAATCGATATAACCATCTTGTGAGGTATCATCCATTTCCATTATGGGATCAATTAAGGCTGCAACTTCTTCATCTGTGAAAGTATCTATTTCTTTCTTATTCTTAATCTGTTCATCATGTAAATGTATCATTGCCTTGAATAGTTCACAACCATCCAACTTGTCATTGTCATCGGAATCATGCATTTTGAAATAATGAAACTGCAACTCAGCCTCGGACATGTGAATAGTGTCCAAGGGCACTGACATATGCTCCTGGATGTGACTACGCTCTAGTTCCATATTTCCCTTGGTCAAGATTTTCTTTGGAGCCCGCTCTACTTGTGGCTGCTGATGATTATGTTGCGTCTCCTTAACCTCTGAACTTTGAAAATAATTGTATGAATATTCCTGAGGGTGCGACGGATGAATATGCTCTGGCATTTGATAGCGTTTTGGATTAATGCCAGGAGGTAAACGCTGACCAACGGCCAGACCCAAAAGGATCAGAAGAAAAAGCATATTGTCCAGGATGAACATCATCTGCTGGGTTGAGATTTGTAGAAGGAACTTTTTCTAGATAGGTTTTCTTACCATGACTTCCAAGGCGAAAATTTGTGCTTTATTTTCTGGTGACAAGTAAGGAGAAGGCCTACTAAGAGTCAAGGGAAGTTGTTAAATATGAAGAAAGCCTCACATAAAGTGTTATAAATTGTAATTACTACGTAAAAAGTATTGTTTTACTAATTATTTAATATATTTTCTTATAGCTGCCGCCGCGTCAATGTCTGGCGAAGTGCCTTTGGGTCGTCTATCGCAAATCTTCGATACGCTCACCAACCTCCAACAGCAGCAGCAGCAACTGCATCCGCATCCGCATCCACATCCTAATCCTCACCAGCAACAGCAGCAGCATCCTGTTCCGGCGGATCAACGTCGCAGATCCGCCTCCTCATCGCCTTCACCCTCGGCCAGTGCCTCGGCCTCAACATCAGGGCGGGCCACCCCATCACTGGGCGTGGCCAGCCCATTGAATACATTGCAATATTATAGTCATGCCAATAATTACTTTCTGAGGCCACAGGATGGAGGCATTGGCAGTGGCTATTTGCATACATTTCCTTCACATCTCTATCATCATCACCAGCAGCAGCAGCAACATCAGCAACATCAGTTGCTGCATCTGCAACAGCAGCAGCAGCAGCCTCCTTCATTACCCACACAGTTGAGTGGCGGACGTGGGTTCTCTGGATCACAATCCCTGCAAGGTTCCCCTTTGCTGGCCAAGAGAGCCACCTCTTTTAGTGGCCAAATACCATTGGGTCAGGTGCGAGTGGGGACGGTAGGAGGAGCTGCTGCCTCAACACCAAATAGTCCCAGATTAATGCCACGTCGGGTGGCTCGCCCACCGCCCATACCTGCCAAGCCGGGACAGGTGAAAGTGGAGAGCAGGGATCCTTCGGTTAGAGATCAGGCACAAAATCAAACTCAGAGCAATGTAAATCCAGTGCTGGCTGCCTTGGATGCACCCGATGCGCCTTGGCCACATTTTTCCACACTTACCGAACATCTAGATGTGCATCAGGTTAATAACTATGGGCAGGCATTGCCGGAGGTGAGTTAAAATAATGAATATATCAAGAATAGATATAAATCTACATCCTTTCTTCCAGATTAATTGGCAAGAACGTTGCCTGGAGTTGCAATTGGAGCTGCATCGTTCCAAGAATCAGGCTGGACGTATTCGTGATATGCTGCGCGAAAAGGTGAGTACTCTTTAGAAGGGGAAAACTATAAAAAGGAAAAGGAAAAATAAGGGAAACCCACCCTGATGATTAGCCCAAAATGAGTTAATAAGTAAAAAGCAACGCCACACAAAACATTAATTACTCAGGAGGAGAGGCAGAGGGACAGAGTCTTGTGCTTAATTATGATTTATGAAACATTTTTACGACGTCCCACGCAATTATCATTCGGTCATATATACATATATATACACACAGAAGCTCGAGTGGCCAGGACACTCTCACAGGACTGAGGAACTTCAGAGATAGTGCAGCTGCCAAGCCACATGTGGCTGGAAAAGCAGGGAAAAGCTGGGAAAAGCATGGCCTTCATCTCCCTGCTCATTATTAGCCTAATTAAGTCATTAGGCATTTGGCCAAGAGGCAACATTGGATGGATGCAAAAACTATATGAATTATGTATTAGTCAAATGTGAAACTAACTCCCCCACAGAAATGTTTCATGTTACGAAATTCCCTGGTGGGAAATGGTGGTGGTATTTCCCTTTCATCTCCACATAACAACATGTTGAGCCTGACATCAATTAATTGTGCTTCAATGATTTTTCGGTCCATGAATAATGCATAGTGAGGAACGGAGCTGTAAGCGATCTCTAAGGGTAATAGAAATGGGGGTTAAAGTGCAAGGTTATTGGGAATTATATTAATTTTAAATAGGGTTTTAATAACTGCAAAGGTTTAAGTAACTTACTTTATATAAATATAAAATAAATAAGGTTCAAATGGCAAGATTTTAGCAAAAAAATGAAGCAGTATTAACTGTAGTCTTATGGTTGGGGAATACTCTACCTTTGTTATCAATAAAAGTAGCTTTTATGAGTCAAATATTTAACTCTTACTCTAACAATTGATATTTTGTATTAAGAATACTTAAAAATTCACTCTAAGTCAGTTTTCACTTAATTTTAAATACTAGTTTAAGATTTCTACATTATATTCAGGCTTATATAAAGTATTACTTAATTTTTAAGCACTTTTATGAATAGAATCACTTATAGCTACTTCTTCTACGACTGCCCAGTACAACTTTCTGCATCTTATGTATTTATAAATTATTACTACTTATCATCTATATACCAATATTATTAATTAATTACATATATTATTTTCAACTCATTTAACACATTTTGTGCTCTCAGCTTCAATTTATTTACTGCTTAAATTTGTCTAACAAATTCCGAAAGTCTTTATGTATATTTTTAATAGTGAGCATAAAAGGAAACCAAATCAAGTTTAAACTTAATAATCTTTTTCATAAAAAAACGCTCATTTTCCAACTAATAAAGCCGACTTTTATGATTTAGCTTTGACTTTTTCACTAAAAACAATTAAAATATAGTAGCCACTTTTATATACATAAAAAGCGTTAAGTTTCTGAGGCAAAAAGTAAAAATTTGTGCGAATTTTATTATTATTAAAATTATTGAGTTGCCTATCATCCCCCAAGCCTTTAATATTTAATTGCCAATTTCCGAGTGTCAGTTGAAAAAAATCCAGTAAAAGGTCAACAAAAATAAACAAAAAAAAATAGTTGAAAATATGGCAAGAGTAGGAAAAAAATAAAAACAAAAATAAAACAAGAAATGCATAACTCGATGGCTCAAAGTATGCTATGAATATTTTATTTCTGTTTTATGCATTTGCCATTTGGCATTTCGCCTTTGCACTATGGGGCATTTGACTCGTTTCGTTGGCTTTAATTGATTTTTTACAAGTATTAAAAATAACGATATTTTAATGCAAACACATTTTAAATACATCAAAATGTTATGTTACATACCAGAAATGTTAACTCAAAATGGCACTGTTAAAGTAGCAGCTGTTAAAGTCAGCTGTTGTAAACAAGAACCACGCGGCTTGTTTAAGCTTAATTTTGAAGTGCATTTTCGAATTGTTATAAAACGAGAAAAAAAAGAAAATAACTAAAATTTGAAATGAATAATATAAATACAGGTTTGTTTTATGTGTTTTTACTAATTCGTTGTTTTATTTGTGCGTGTCTTTCTAACAATTTGTATATTTAACATGTAGTGTCAACAGCTGACTTTTGGAAAAAGTTCAACTTTGATAAGATTTTTAATCAACTGTTGAAGTTTGTTGAGTAAGTGTCTATATCCATGTCGTAGATTTATCATTTCCTAATTCAGAGCATCCAATCTTAATTTCCACTTTTCTCTACCCTTTACGTAATTTCATTTTTAAGGAAGCAACCTCTTATTTAAAAATGTTGACTTGTTCGAAGTGTGGCGAAAGGAAAGGTGCCGCCGTGACAAAAATGATGCCGTTTTTAATTTTATATGTCGCCATGTTGATTCGAGTACTCTGGCTTTACATAAAAGCTATTTTAAAGAAAAATCAAGAATGTTTTGCACAAACTTGTTTGTCATGTGGCAAAAATGTAAGGCAAACATTAAATATTTTTCAACTCGAAATTCAAAATGGCTTCAAGACAATTTAAGCATCTCTTTAAATAAAGAAGATGGTAACAGAAAACTAAATAGACCCGGACGTCCAAAAATATCATTTAACTTTAAAGGGAAAAGAGCGCAGAGAAAGCAAGCAGCTGATCTTTCCAAGGCGTATAAACACAATGCACGTCTGCTAGTTCAAGCTGCCAGTATAGCTGCCCGTAAGCGCGGGCTCCTCGATATTGCTGCCGTTCTAAAGTTGCTAGCGCTCAACCCTGCTAAAGCCAAGAGCATCAGGAAGCTATTGAAGACACCGATTACGAAACCTTTGCGTTCTTCCCTAGAAGAAGCCCTGGCTTTGATTTTGGACCAAGGCTTAACTAAAAATCAGTATTGCGCATTGCGAGAGGACGCTAAGTGCAGAAGGGCGGATATCTATCCAAGATATAAAGAAGTGGCGGAGAAAAAAAAGGATTGCCGGCCACCAAATATTGAAGTTAGTGACACAGTAGCTAAAACTTCACTTCAGGACCTATTAAATTACACAGCTATTCGGATTGTGGCCTTACAGGAAGCAAGCATTGCAATGGCAATGAAAAATCAACAAACTGACTTCTTATCAGCCGAATTAATATTAAGTTATGGCTTTGACGGAAGTACGGGACAGGCCAATTATAACCAGGCATACACTGATAATCACTCACATGATACAGATTCAAGTCTATTTGCTACAACAGTTATGCCTTTACGCCTTATTGATAGCTCGGCAAACATTTTATGGAACAATCGCACTCCTCAGAGTATACGATTCTGTCGTCCATTAAAACTGGAATTCCTTAAGGAAACAAAGGAAGTTATTATAAGAGAAAGCATGAATATAAGAAAAGAAATTGACAACTTGATGTCTTGCAAAGTACTACTCAACGAGAGGCAATGCATATATGTTAAATTTAGTCTTTACTTAACCGTTATCGATGGCAAAGTGCTTAATGCTTTAACAGGAGCAAAATCATTTCAAGCTTGTCCTATTTGCAGTGCGACACCCAAAGATTTTCTGGGTAACAAGAACTTTAAGTGCCTCAAATTTCTTCCTATTTTAGATAACTTAAAACATGGAGTCAGCCCACTACATTGCTGGATCAGATTTTTTGAATTTTTGCTGCATGCCGGATATAAAACAGGTATACAAAAGTGGAGAATTTCAAACCCGGTCGAAAAAGTCTTGTCTCCGAGAGAAAAAAGTATTCAACGTATGTTTTGGGAAAAACTTTCATTAAAAGTTGACCAGCCAAAACAATCAGGATTTGGGAACACAAACGTGGGAAATACCGCCCGACAAGCATTCAATAGCTATAAAATATTTTCTGAAATAATTGGCATTGATGAAGAGCTCATATTTAACATGAGGACAATATTAATATGCCTGTCATGTCAACTGCCCATAAACCTGGAAAATATGAAAAATTGTGTCAAAAGACGGGAGAATTAATTATAGACAAATATCCTTGGCTTGCAATGACAGCGACAGTTCATAAAATTTTGGTGCACTCAACAGAAATACTGCAAAATACAGTACTTCCAGTCGGTTATTTTGGTGAAGAGGCGGCTGAATCGCGAAATAAAATTTATAAATCAGACAGACTACACCATGCAAGGAAGAATAGCCGGTTATGCAACTTAACTGACGTGTTCCATAGAGCATTGGATACGTCAGACCCCATAATTTCGTCAGTAAACTTAAAGAGGCGCATACGAAAACATAGGCGCATTTCTCTTCCAACTGAAGTCATAGAACTGCTATCCTGCGAATTTGACGAATTGGATGAATCTTTGGATGATTGCATTGATGAATTAGATGAAACTTTGATTGATTGTTATGTAGACGAAGAAATCAATGATTTTTGTTCAATATAGAACTTGATAATGAGGAAAATATTGAGTAATATATACATATATATACATATTTATACGTTATTATTAAAATATAAAAATATCTATATTTGGTATAAAAATTGTACTTTATGCTCAAAAAAAAAAAAATGGTGGCAGGGGTAGTGACACGCCCACTTTTCAAAATATTTCTAAGAGTGTTTTTAATACTAGAAAAAAAACCCCAGCAAAATATGTTTTCATTTTAAGGAGTTATTAATTAAAGCCAACAAAACGATAGCATACAAATTTGGTACACCCTAAAAGGGGCGGTGCCACGCCTACATTTTTTTTACAGTTAAATCTTATCTATAACACGAACTAAATACCGAAAACCAAATCAAAAATCTCTTTTCGTTCTCAAGTTATTAATTAATGCCAACGAAACGAGTCAAATGCCCCATAGTGCTTTGTCGCTGCCATTCGTATGAGTTTTGGCCAATTCTCCTTCTCTTTCCACCACCACTTTTGTGACTTTTCCGCTTTTCCACACTTTTTCCATTTCCCTCCCCAATTCGGGTGACTGTTGAACTTTTTGCCAGCTGCAATTCAAGTGCATCATAAATTTTAAATTAGTTGCACTAAACTTGAAATGGCCTGGACACAACTTGCTTCCTTCCTTCC